GGGGGGGCGGGGGGCGGGGGGGGCCTGGGGCACCCGCTTCCCCCGTAGTAAACACTGTTCTGAAACAGTGGCAGAAAAGATCAAAGTGAGCTCTATTTCTCTCCTTTCCAATTCCCTTCCTGCCCCCCACACGGTCTTTTGTTTCAATCCAGGAGAAATCCGGTGAATCACCTAATTAAAACCAAGACATGAATTAAGCATCCATTTTTGTACTACAAATTGCCAGCTCTCCGCTTGTCCCTCCCTTGGTCTCCATTAAAAAAACACCAGAGACGCTGTTAAAAGGGGGGGGTGGGTGGGTATTTTGCCTCTAGCTTCCAGCTCTGCTTTCTATTTCACTGACTCCTATCCCAGGACCTAAATTGCTTGGCTGTGTAATTACTAGAGTAAGCCTATTTAAGTTAAAAGCTTTTTCCCCCCCAACTCTAAATGAAACTTGATGAGGGCCCGTCCTTAGTTATCAAGGGAGTCACTTTCTGGTCAGTCCTCTTGATTCATCTTTTTAGATTTAATCAGCATTAAGGTATTGCTTGTCCCTAAGAGCTTTAGCTTAATGGGGTTACTGGATGGTTTTCTCAGTGTAACGTTTCCCATTTTATATTTATATATATCTTTGCCTTCGACAAAGACGGGGTAAGGTGGTGGCATGGAGTCTTTTTCTTTCTTTTAAGAAATCCGAAGTGATTTAAAGCGTAGGGAAACGGTTTAAAGACTCGGAGCAGTAAATGCAGATTCATTTAGGCTGTAGCTGGAAACTGTAACAAAAGGCAATTCCTTGAACAAATGCATCAGAAATCAATTTACATAAAGGTATATGATGCGTTCGGATAAATGCAATGCTAATGGCTCAGAACAAATGCATCAGAAATCAATTTACATAAAGGTATATGATGCGTTCGGATAAATGCAATGCTAATGGCTTTTAGAGTGGTTTTCTTTCCAAAGTCTCGGGGTTTTTGTTACAGCTTAATTGGTGCAGTTCTTCTGGTTTATTGTGCGGTCACTGGACATACCTCCAGGTACTCTTTCTGAGGAAACGTGTGTTTAAAATCGGCCTCAGTTCTCCTCCTCCTGCAGCCGAGTTGGGCCAGTGGCAGGAAAAGTTCGTCCCGGCTGCTCTGGAGGTATCAGTCTGAAGGTCCTTAGCAGATAGCCAGATGCCTCGGCATGAGCACATACGGCTTACAAAGGACAAAGACAAAACATGCTGCTTAATTGGCAGTAAATAACTTGATCTTTTTATAGTATAAGTGACTAGAGGAACACCGGGAGTTTATTGGACTCTGGATTGAAGGCAACAAATTAATCGGTTTAGAGTAAGCTTTATGAATTGATTCCTATATTATCTCTCCGTTGTCCTGCTTGCATAAAGCATTTATTAGAAAGTGAAAAATGACCTTAGTAGCAGTTTTGGAGGCGGCCAGAGTAGCTCCAGCCGGAGCGGGGCACTTCATTATTCTGCTGCTTTCCTATGGTCGGTAAACTTTTTTTTTTTTTTTTTTTGGGTAACAAAGCTTTAGCATTTAAACTGCTGATCAAGGGCAGATTAGCGAGACAAAAGTTGAGTATGTTTGTGTAGGAAGTTAACAGGCGTCCTAAAGTTCAATGATCTATTATTCGGGCCAGTGTCCTCAGTCTGGAGTGTTTTCTCTGGCTGTTTTTACGTCTCCAAAATAAAACAAAAAAACCATATAAAAAATCCGGAGGTCTGGGCGGCCGGTCCCGAGCCCCTCGTTACCGCCCCGAACCTGCGGAGTCTCTCCTAGACTGAAAAACCAGTTTCACAACTTTTTTTTTTTTTTTTTTTTCTTTTTACCCCCTTTTTCTTCATAAGCAAAACAAACCCCGGGACTGTTCCTGACTTGTGCGTGAGCTGCAGCTGCACAGCCCCGGAGCGGGAGGGGGGGCGGCGGGGCGCGCAGTCTCTTCCCCCCCTTCCCCCCCCACCCCGCGCTCTCCCATCCCCCGGCGCGGCGGTGCCGGTGAGGCGGGCGGGGTGCGCCGTGCCGTGCCGTCCCGCCGCTGAGCCGCCCCCGCCCCTCTCTCCGCGCAGGCCATGGTGAACCCCGGCGGCAGCTCGCAGCCGCCCCCGGTGACGGCGGGCTCCCTCTCGTGGAAGAGGTGCGCCGGCTGCGGGGGGAAGATCGCCGACCGCTTCCTGCTCTACGCCATGGACAGCTACTGGCACAGCCGCTGCCTCAAGTGCTCCTGCTGCCAGGCCCAGCTGGGGGACATCGGCACCTCCTGCTACACCAAGAGCGGCATGATCCTCTGCAGAAACGACTACATCAGGTGAGGCGGCGGCCGGGCTGGCGGGGGCTGCTTTCCCCCTTCCTGCTTTTTTTTTTTCCTTTTTTTTTTTCCCCCCCCTTCCTTTCTGTCGGTGGGTGCCGGCGGGGTGGGCTGGCTGGGGATCGCTCCTTCATTAGGAGCGGAGAGACGTGCGGGTGCGGAGACGGATGTTAGCGCCTAGCCCAGGGCGCAGTTGCGGCTGCCAAGTGGAGGGAAGAGTTGGGGGGGCGGGGGGGGGCGGAACGACGACTGTAACTTTAAAGTGGTTTGTCAGCACAAAACAAGTCCTAACTAAAAATAAACAGCAATCAGAGAGGCTAAATTAATCTGCTTTGTTGTAGTGTTGAAGGAGAAGTGTGCATATCTGAACGGTAAATGTTAAAATCGTAGGGCTTAAATAAGGCTGTGGCAGAGGTGCTAAATAATGAAATGCCTGCCTTTAGTATCTGATTAATTATGATATTTACATAAGCACCTTTAAACTCCTTTGAGTGGAAACAGAATGACTCATTCTCTGTTCTCCTTGTGAAAGAGCTGATTAACCGTCAGTTGGAGAGCCACCGATTCTACCTATAGCCCAAAACAGTGGTATAATGTTTGTCTTCGCACCTTAGGAAGAAGCTTTGAACCGACGTTTTTCTTAACTCCCAGTATAGAAAATGCAGGGTACAGGAGAGGAGGGATATGCTTTTGCTCTTTATTTCTTCTTTTTTTTTTTTTTTTTAGCGTTCGCTCTAAATGCCACAGATTTGGGTAGGGGGAACTAAGCCTTATTAATCTTGCATCTGTTGGGGTACAGTAAGATTACGCAGAGTATCTCTTCCAACGAGTTTGCAATATAATTAATAGAAAGAATTCATGAGGTCAGGTGCCTGTACGATCTTTTCAGGTGAACTCAAGCTACTTAAACTCATTAATTTAAAAGGAGGCATTTTGAAGGATTACACATTTAATTTGAGTAAATGGTTTGATAGACTGATGCACATGAATGCTTCAAGGAGGTGTTCTATTTCAACATTCAGTAATTAAAAAAAACAACAAAAAAGCCCCATACCTTCCTGGCATAACAGAAATGCTTAGTTAAAACAAATTGTGTTTTGTTTAAACGCTTCTGGCTTCTCATTTACAGTAAATGTCAAGAGTTAGCCCAGGTTTTTCCTCTCCCCGATGGCCCAAAAGTACCACTTTTTTCTTTCTTTCTGAAAAAAAAAAACCATCACCCACAAAATGTTACAAGTTTGCTTATGTTGTAAAACTTGAGTTTTATTTGAGTAGAGTGGGACTGTGCTGAACGTGTGCGTATGCATGGAGCCCTCCTTAGTCTAAAAGGTCAGAGTTAAGACTTGGTTGCTCTGATAGTGGAGCCTCTGTCCTGATACAGGGCTGCATTTTCGGTCAGTTAGGTAGATGAAACGCAGCCCTCGGTATCTTTTGAGGAATTCAGAGCCTTAGCCTCACTAGTTTTGAGTGTATTTTTAGAGAGAAGTGCTAGAAAATCAGCACATGAGGGGGTTTTAATGGTGCTTTTCGGTCATCATCCTAAACAACAAGCCTAAGCCTGGCAGAATTGTAATTAAATAGAGCAGAACGGTGTTAGGGAAAGAGTCTTGTTTGAAGTGGAAAAATTGACACTACTGTTAAGATGCACCGAATAGTACAGATTCATCACTCGACCAACACCATCAAACAAACCCTCATGTCTGATTACTACTAATTAAAAAGAGAAGATGCGTCCACTGTATCCCAGAGGCAAGTTCAGGCAAGCTTATCTCAGTCCTCCGGTTTTGTGTTGCCAAAAATTAATACTCGTTTATTTTAATGTAAGCGATTATGAATAGGATGCTTTATCAGATGAGGGGTTTGAATTGATCTCCTTGTTCTATCGCCCGACTTCTCTTTAGATCTGTGTAATTTGACTTGCAAAAATAACTCTGACAGATGCTTGCTGAAACTTGAACTGGACACCATACACTCAAGGTGGGGTAGGACGGCCTGGCCCTGCCGGGGCTGACTTGAGTTGGAGCTTTTCCGCTGGAAATGGACTTTGCGGGCTTGGGTGGCGCTGGCAGGAGCGAGACCCTCACCCTTTCCTTGCTTGAAGTGGCCTCATCTGGTTATGGAGGTGATGCCACCCGTTTGGCAGCGGGTCTCTCGGGTCCCCCCCCGCCATTGCCCCTCCTAATTTTCTGCGGGGCGTTTGCGGTGACACATTCCCTTCCCCAGGCAAGAGCCAGGGGCGCAGCTCGCAGTGGGAGCCCTAAGCGGGGACACGGTAGCCCCGGCCAGCGAAACGAGGGGATTGATCAGCCCGGCAGGCGCCAGGTGAAAGGGACTCGGCTCCTCCGGGCCAAGACGGCGGGGCCGTTTATTAATGAGCTTTTTTTTAACCGTCTGAGGCTGCGTGTGTTTTCTTCTTGTTGTTTAAGCAACACAACGCTCCCCTTTCTCTCCCTCCCCCCAAAACCCGACAACAAATTAGCCGTAGAGCTCCAGCAGCAGCAGCTCTCGTTGAAAGACGAGGTTCCTGGGAGCAGGGAGGCGAAAGCCCCCGTCCCTTCCCCCCCCCCCTCCCCAGGGCGAGCGGGGCGCTGGCGGGAGGGGAGCGCAGCCCTCCCAACCTTAAGATGCCAGATAAAGCAGCAGCGTGGCAGCGAATCCGCACAATTAAAAGCTTTAATTAGTGTCTCCTCCATTTTCTCTTAGTTCTGATAGGTTTTATCTAATGAGATCTGGTCCCTGGCTTAGATCTGCTCGGAATGACGTGTCCGAAATGAATGAGAGCCGCGTCGCAAACAAAACATTTAATTAACAAAATTGGCCTCTAAGAGAGAGCAGGGAGTGGTGGGGAAGGGGAAGGGGGGGGGGCAGGCT